CAAAACTGCAACCAAACCACGTCTGAATGACCTAAAATTTTGCATATACATCCCACATGACACAACAGAACTACTGCAACTCCTGGAATTCCATTCCGACCCCTATATTAAAATATTACCTATCAACCGGAAAACGCCAAAAATCCAATTTCGCCAATTCAAGCATAAATCTACTCTAAACCTCCAAAACTCATTCTGATCACCCTCTTAAGTCCCAAATCACCTCCCGAAGCTATCCGAACCATCAGAACTCACATCCTATCTATCTAACACATAAGTTAACATCCGGTTGACTTTTCCAACTTAAGCTTCATCAAAAGAGACAAAGTGTTTCAAACCTTCCCGAACCCGAGCCAACCAACACGATCACATTTAGAACCTACAGACAAAGCAATAAGAAGTAGAAATGGGGAAAATGGAGCGATAACTCATGAAACGACCGACCGGGTCGTTACACAACTACTATTTGATCATCATCTTCTTCTTCTTCATCTTCGTATAATTAACCCATGGATCTTGCCCACCTAACAAGGCAAAATTTTAGGCCCAAGGTTTTTTTTTTGTTATGATAATCTAGTATTTTGTATTAATGACCCGACTAATTTAGATTCATTTCAAGCCTGAGCCATTAAATTGTGAAGCTTTCTAACTAGGGAATTTTGTTTTCAAGGACAAATCCAAGATTTCTTATTTTAAGATAGAAGTGACACTTTGATGGAAGTTAAACATGAGATTCAACACAATAATTTAAGGTCTTTTTTGAAAATTTACAGTCGTAAGTTAGACCAATCTCCATAAAATCTGCACTATGATTGTAAAACGACACAACGAAAAAATCACAAGTCATCAACTGTCAAATTTCTCAATTAAAATAGTTTCACTTGTTGGTGTCTAATCACTTAGACTGTCTATAAATTGTGGTATCCAATCGCACCCAAAAATCTATCAATTACAATGTTAAGGCTTACTTTTAACTTTTACGCAATAACATTATCAAGACCCTTGTCTCATTTCGAACTTCATTCAAATTACATTATCATTAAGACATTCGACTGTTTAATTTCTTTAAATTGTCTAAAACTTTATGAGCAACACTCACTATTTTGTTAATTTTGTTTTTTTACTAATTCGATACAACTAATTATGATTGTGTCTTTCGCTTCCCATACCACTACTACCAGCTTGGTTTTTGAGGTATAATAATAGAGAAAAGAAGAAAGCATAGTGAAAAGGATTTTTTGTTACGAATTATCAAAAGGTAAATATTTTTTTAACTTTAAAAATAAGCATTTGTTTAAGTTATATCATGATTCATGTATATCTAATTTATAATGTAATGAACCAAGAATTCAACTAAAATAGAATCTCTGCATCACAATCCTTACATTGCTAATTCATGCATAACTTCTCTTTAAACCTAACGACCCTTAAAAGTTTGATTTATACTATTGTTTCTTTGTATACTTTCCGAATTTGTAAAGTTTATTTAAGAAACTATTTGTTGAGTATAGTGGGTCCCAACTATTTATAGTTAGGAGTAATTAGTTATAACTACCAATAGTTAGTTATTCAGTTAGTTGGTATTTTTTGTATAAATACAGTACTTAATTGATAGTGCTATATAGTTATTCATTCCTCTTCTTTGTTAGCTAATAAAAGAGATTGCATTTCTCTCATTCCTTCTTCTTCTAGAATCTTCAAGTCTTGCCATGGCTGAAGCTCCTTAACATGGTATCAAAGCTTGGTGCTCGATCTCCTTAAGCTCAGCCGTGAGAGAACTTGAATCATTCAACTGTATCGAAGCATCCTTTCACCGGTTTGATCGAGATATTCTTCAACACAGAAATCTCTCTGCTCGGCCTTAGGTTTGGGATTTTTTGATTTTCTGGTTGAATTGCGGTCAGATTGTATCTAAATTTATGTGAATTTGATAAAATTGTGAAGATTTCTGGTGAAGCATTTGCTATTGTGACAATGTCGATCAATGAAGAGGTAGTTGATGCTCCTGTTGCTGCTTCAATGTCTACAGAACTCGTCGACCACAATCATCCTCTCTACATTCATCCTTCTGATACTCAAGATTCTATTCTCATTTCTATTCAGCTTCAAGGTTTAAAAAACTATTCTATTTGGAGTATATCTATGAAAATTGTGTTGCATGGTGTAAAATAATTAGGCTTTGTGCTAGGCACTTGTAGGAAAAACAGATATAATGCTAGTTTGCATGAACTGGGGGATAGATGCAATACTATTGTACTTGCTTGGATAATGAATACACTTTCACCCAGTTTAATTAGTTCAGTAATCTATTTCCGATGGATATACAGTGTGGGATGATCTTAAGGAAAGATTTGATAAAGATAATACATCTAGTATTTGCTATTTGCACAAAGAAATTGCCACATTAACTCAAGGCATATCCTCTGTGTCTATGTATTACTAAACTAAAAGATTTGTGGGACGAGTATGAAACTTTAACTCCACCACCTTCTTGTGGTTGTGCTGAATCAAGGAAATATGTAAAATACTATCAGATACAGAAATTGTATCAGTTCCTCATAGGGCTAAATGAATCCTATGAGAATGCAAAGAATCAAGTCCTCATGACTCGACCCTTGCCTAATCTGAGGCAAGCTTATGTTATGATAGTTAATGTGGAGAGTCAGAGAATTAATGGACAAGGTGTATATGTTGAGGGTAATGAAGCTGCTATGATAAGTAATAAGGTGTATATTGTAGGTTACAATGGTTGAGGACAGACTTATAATAACTCTAATGGAGGTTATACAGGCGGATACAATGGTGGAGGACAAACTAATAGCAATTCCAATGGAGGCTATAGGCCTAGAAACTCATTTGGTCAAGGTGCAATTTGGTGTGATTACTGTAAATATAAGGGTCACACTAGAGAGAACTGTTTTAAGCTTCAAACGCTATCCTTTTGACTTCAAAAATAAGAGAAAAGGAGGGGCATAAAATGCTCAGGCTAACAGTGTGACAAGTTATGGTATTCCAACTTCTCCAACTTACTTCTTTACTCAGGAACAGTACCAGTAGATTTTGCATTTGCTAAACAAGAATAAGGAGGCTGAACCTGTTGCTAATGCTGTCAATACAGGGACAACAGTTAGTATACATGCATTTATGACAAGCTTGATGCATAGTAACTGGATTATAGACAGAGGAGCAATAAACCATATAGTTCTTAGTTTGCACCTGCTAGAGAAGTATGATGAAATACCAGAAAATGTTAGGAGTAAAGTTCATTTACAAACTGGAGAACATGTGTCTATTACTCATACTGGTATTTATTCTTTATTCAAGGATAAAAAAGTTCAGAACATTCTCCATATTCTAGAGTTTAAATATAATCTCCTCTTAGTGTCCAAACTCACAAAAGAGCTGCAATATCTACCAACATTTTACCATGCTTTCTATATCTTTTAGGAACTCTCAAGTGGGAAGGTGTTGGGGATTGGTAAGAAAGAGTTGGGTCTGTACATTCTCAAGGCAGAAGACAGTAATACTCAATCACCAAGGCACTCATTCCTATTCAATTATACATACCATTCCAGGTGATACCAATAAATGTAGTAATCTAGCAAACAATAAGACTTGTGTTGTATCTTCTTTATGGAATCAAATATTAGGTCATACTCCCTTAAAGGTCTTAAGATCTGTAGATGCTTTGCATAATATGCAGCTGAAGGAACATCATTGTGTTATGTGTACTATAGCCAAACAATCAAGACTACCTTTTCCAACTAGCTCTTCTTGCTCTAAATATATCTTTGACATTGTGCATTGTAATGTTTGAGGACCCTATAGGGTGCCTATGCATGGTAGCAAGAGATATTTTTTTACCTTGGTAGATGATTACTCTAGATATACCTAGCTATTTTTATTGCATTCTAAATCATATACTATTGAGGTGATTAAAACTTTGTAGCAATGGCCTCAACACAGTTTGATCACAAACTCAAATACATAAGAACAGACAATGGCATAAAGTTTTTTTAATGACCTGATGCAGACCTTGTTGAAGACTCAAGGTATAGTACATCAAAGTTCTTATACATATACCCCTCAACAGAATGGGGTCGTTGAGAGAAATCATAGCTCTATCATAGACATGGATAGAGCACTCAGGTTTCAAGCTTTAGAGAAAGCACAGGTCTATCCTAGACATGGCTAGAGCACTCAGGTTTCAAACTTTCTTACCCCTCAAATTATGGGGAGAATGTGTCTACAACAGTCTATCTTCTAAACAGTTTGCTTACTATACTACTACAAAGCAAATCTCCCTTTGAGAAGTTGTTTCAAAGGAATCCTTCATTACAGCATCTGAGAGTGTTTGGCAGTCTTTGTTATGCCACTACCATGAAGAAAGGGGATAAGTTTTGCCCCAGAGCAATTCTAGCTGTTCACATGGGCTATTCCTCATCTCAAAGGGGATATTTACTCTATGATTTGTGTTAAAAAAGGTTCTTTGTTAGCAGAGACACTATGTTCAAAGAATAAGTGTTCCATTTCAAGCATATATCTTCTGGTGCTTCTCCCTTATTTCCTGTCTTGGAGTTTGTAGAACAACTTACACAACCAGCTGCTTCCTCTAATGATTCTTCTTTTGCGAATGCTGAGTTTCTTGCAGCCTCATCTAGCTAGAACTCTACTGATGAAGTTGAGACTTCCTCTTCTTCTATCTCAGTCCCTCAAGATCATGGTCAGTCTATTCTATTCTCACAAATTCCCTATCATATCTCAGCTTGTGAACCATCTGCTCCTTCCATAGCACTCAGCAAGTCCTCTAAGACCACCAAACCACCTGTGTGGCTAGCAGATTATGTGGTTCCACCAGATAAGTCTGCATATCCTAGGTCAAACTATGAAGCCTATGATAAGTTGTCCTCTGCTTATAGAGATTTTCTTGCTGCATTCTAAGCTATTGTGGAACCCAAATTCTTCTACAAAGCCAGTAGGGATCCCAAGTAGGTGAGGCTATGCAAGCTGAAATCACAGCTCTTGAAGATAACAACACCTGGTCTATTGTTCCTCTTCCTCCTGCCAAGGTTCCTATAGGTTGCAAGTGGATGTTTAAAGTCAAATACAATTCATCTAGTGAAGTGGAGAGATATAAGGCCATGCTGGTGGCCAAGGGTTACAGTCAATAATGAGGATTGGACTGCATGGAAACTTTCTCTCCTGTAGCTAAAATGGTTACTGTGAGGGTTGTAGTATGCATTAACTACTAGTTCAGTATGGTATGTGTTCCAAATGGATGTTCACAATGCTTTTCTTCAAGGAGATCTTCTCGAAAAAGTGTATATGTATGTTCTTGGTGGCTTTTCAAGCCAGGAGGAGTGTCAGCATATGTTCAGATTGCATAAGTCACTCTATGGATTAAAACATGCACCTAGGGAGTGGAACCTGGAACTAACTGAAGCTCTCATTGATATGAGATTTGTTCTAAGTCACTAAGACTATTCTTTGTTTACTCAGAAGATGAATTCAGAGTTAGTAGTCATTCTTGCCTATGTAGATGATCTTCTAGTAACTAGAAGTAGTCTAAGACTGATCAAACAAGTCAGAAAGGATTTGCAGGAGAGGTTCAAGATGAAAGATCTTGGTGACCTTAAATACTTTCTAGGGATTGAGTTCTTTAGATCTCAGGAAGGAATTGTTATGTGCCAAAGGAAGTATTCTTTAGAACTAGTTTCTAAACTAGGCCTAGCAGGTGCAAAGCCAGCAACAACACCTCTAGAGTTCAATCACAAGTTCACATCCATTGAGTTTGACAAGCAAATACCAAATGTTAGATCTACAGTTGAAAAAGAACTTGAAGACAAGGGAGGTTATCAGAGACTAGTTGGAAGGTTGCTGTACTTAACCATGACAAGGTCTAACATTGCCTTTGTAGTTCAAGGGCTCAGACAGTATATGCATGCACCTAAGATTTCTCACATGGAAGCTGCCCAAAGAGTGGTGAGATACATAAAAACTGCTCCTAGACTTAAATTGCTTATGCCTGCAAAAGCAAGCAAATCTCTGTCTGCATACTGTAATTCTGATTGGGGGCTTGTGTAGAGTCAAGGAGATCAGTGATAGGCTATATAGTGAAATTTGATAAAACACTGATATCATGAAAGTAAAAAAAAATAGAGAACTGCGTGCAGGAACTCTTTTGAAGCTGAATTTCGAAGTATGCACTCTACTATAGCAGAAGTGGTGTGGATAATATGACTCTTTGAGGAGCTGGGAACTGAACTGGTATAGCTCATACAGCTGCATTGTGATAGCAAGGTTGCTATACAAATTTCCGCTCACCCTATATTTTATGAATAAACCAAACGCATTGACATTGATTGTCATTTTTTGAGAGAAAAGCTTGTTCAAGGTCAGATTAAAACTCAACACATCAGAACAACTGAGCAGCTAGCAAATCTATTGACTAAGAGTCTATGCAAGCCACAACATGAATATCTACTAGGCAAGCTGGGAATGCAAGATGTATTTCATCCCGCAACTTGAGGGGGAGTGTTGAGTATAGTGGGTCCCAACTATTTATTAGTTAGGAATAATTAGTTATAACTACCAATAGTTAGTTAGTTAGTTGGTATTTTTTTTGTATAAATACAATAGTTAGTTGATAGTACTGTATAGCTATTCATTCCTCTTCTTTGTTAGCTAATAACAAAGATTGCATTTCTCTTATTACTTCTTCTTACAGAATCTTCAAGTCATGTCATGGCTGAATCTCCTTAACACCATTGTTGGAAAGTAGCATGAAAATTAGATATTCCCACCATCATAATGTTACAAACCATATTTACGTATGTTAGTTCACGTCGTAAGTTAGTCGACATAAATTCAAGAATATATTATCTTTGAGAAGAAAATAAGTTAATCATATTGGTCTTAAATGATACAAGGGCATATAAGAGTGGTTAACAAGCATTAGAAGTTAAACGAATCAAGGATATTGTAACCCGTATTTTTGGGTAAAGCTAGAGGTGCTTAATATTACCAAGAGGTTGAGTTTTAAGGTATTTAAATCATATAATATCCATATCATAAGTCTTGAATTCAAACGAGTTATAAAACAAAAGTCGACAAAAGTTGTCGCAACTTACGTTCATAATTTTATTTAAACTTTGGATCAAATGTTACTCATCTTTTCTCCCAATTTGCTTAGAATTACATGGTGATCTACTCACCCAATTGAATATATATGACTCTAGTTTTAAACGCATTAAACTGTTTGTGGATACGATCTCGGAGTAGAGAGATATTCGCATTTTTGCGAGACTGCACCAGACAGCTCTATGGGGGCCCACATAGGTTGTTTAAGACATATGGATATATATAAGATTCCTCAACCCCATTTTTAGTTAATATTTTTTAGTATATTCAGACCTTAGAACCCTATAAATTGTCTCTCAAGGTTCTCTCATGATCGAAGACCCAAACAAACGACAAGCAACACAAATCAAGTATCGGGAATCCCGTGGTGCTAGTAAGTTTCTTGTTCTTCTTGTTGTTGCTGATTTTTGTTTTGTGTGAGAGGTTGTTTTAAGTGGTTTATGTTGTGTAAATTACTCCCTCAAGTTTTTAATGTCTACCTTAGGTGATTTCAAGTCTTCTAAAGTGATTCTAGTGCCGAAAAACCCTAATTGATTGCTAGTTTCACATCCATGTTCTTGTGGCAGCATTGGAGAGATATTTCTATTCAGTTAAGGTCAAGTTGGATTTTTCTTTCTGTTTAAAGGTAAGTAAGCTCTTACTCTACATGTACTTAAGATTATCCAATTTGCGGCTAAATCGTTGAAGCTAAAACTTGTGAGATATATATTGAAAGGCTTGTTAGTAATGTTGTTGGTTGGTGGACTATTTTGGGACGCTTAATATGATTATTATTGATGTTGTTTGGGCTGTTTGGTAAATTTTTTGACTTTTGGGAAGTCATATAAATAGTGGAGGTGCTGTCTGTTTCATCGTAACATAGGTTGTGGTTGATACATAATAGTTACGACACTTAAACGATAACGATAGTGTCATTTCTCTTATTGTAGACAAAGGAGTCGTGACTTTTTGCATAGCTTGAGGTTGGGAAGTATATACAAGGTAGGTGAGGCTATTCCTTTCCTTCTTTTGCATGACTCCGATTGTACATGATGTAATGAACGAGCTTTCAAAGATACTCTACTCTTAGAAGCTAGTAGTACTTACATTGTTTTCCTTCTTATGGAATAATTGATGTTGAGGTTTCTTCTCTTATTCTTATGTTATCAATGTATTGGTACTTCCTAATTATTATAAGATTAATGATGAAGAGTTAGTCCTAATAACGTGTACGGAGGATACCGACCTTACATCACTCCAAAAGGTTGAGAATATGATTCCAATGAGTCCAACATGCATTATATATATGTATCTATTTTACTCTACCGAGTCACGCTATAGTCAGCCGGATACGACACCTATTGTGAAACCAGTGTTTAGATGGATTTTACCGAGCTCCATGTGGCCAGGTACGATTCTACCAAGCCTTATGATGGTCAGATACATTTTTACCGAGCCTATTCCAGCCGGGTACGATAAGATGATGCCTACAGAGGGGTGTGTNTCCCTATTTACATTACTGTTCTTACTTATGCTTTCCTGCCTTACATACTCAGTACTTTATTCGTGATGACATCCTTTTTATTTATGGACGTTGCATGTCGTGCTGCAGGTCCTAAAAGATAGGTAGATGCAGCTCCCCCACCATAGTAGGCTACCCGGTTCAGCGGTTATTGGCGAGATTACTTCTTCGGACTTGCCATGGTCTTGGTATGCATTTTTGTTATAGACATTATGGGTATGTCAGGGCCCTGTTCTGGAAATGTTGCAGCACTTCTGTTCCTTTAAAGGCTCATAGACAAATGTTGATTCATGTATAGTTTGGATTGCCTTTTCGACTGATTTGTTGTATAGTCTCTCATGGCAGCTTGTCAGCTCGTACCTTATATATAGCTTCATGACAGCCTTGTCGGCCCATAGTATATATGTTCATGCAAGTATCTGTCATTGTTGATTGTTTACGATTCATGTCTACCATTTATATTGATATCGCCGGTGCTTATAGATAATAAGAAAGGTAAGATAAAATGTGCATTGTTTCTCGGTAGGTATGGCCCGAGTGCCATGCTGTCGCGCCCCCTTTTCCCTCGTGGAGTCCGGGTTTCGACATTTAGTGGGAACAACTCATTCCTTTCGGGAATTAGGTATTTGAATTTGAAGAGTCGCCACCTAACGGATTTATGGTGCGTTAGGGCAGCTAGAAAAAATAACTCATGAAACTGGTTTGCATTACCAGAGACTTGGGTAAGGGCTTGAAATAACATTGAGGGTAAGGTGTTAGGCACTCTTCGAGGTCCACAACGTGTGTCCCGGCCGAACTCATTTTTTGTGAATTAGTCATTTAACATATATGCAATCTAAGCACACGTATAAGATAAAGGGGATTTAACAGATAATCAGTCTAAGCACACATATGAAAATAAGATGAGGGTTGACCAAATGGGATGTTTTGAAAAATAGAGGCCTGACCCTGGTCTTTAAGCTGCCTACATATCCCTGGTTTTACAGGAATTAGGCCATGTGTAGCTCTGGACCCTACGATGAATAAAACCGATGGAATTGTTATACCGGAAAGGGTTCTTTCGGGAAGGATAGTATCGGATGGATTTATGTGGAGTTATGAATGTGAATCTTAATTGTAATAGATGTATCACAGGGCAGGTATCGAAATGATCATGGAGTGAAGGAGAAAAAATTGATGGGAATGAGTTACGTTTGAAATAACAGCAAGGTATAAATGGTATGAGCGGAAACCAGAGCGAAAGTTGTTCTCGTTTATAGAACGGTTACCTCCTAGATTACCTGCAAAGCTTAAAACCAAATGAATGCAAGCATATAAATGATGCAAATTCCCTTTGGACCATGAAAGATTGCCTTTGGATAATGCAGATGACGTACTTAGACTATGATGTCATGGACCATGAACTATGAGATAGGGGATTCACAGGCCATGAAATAATGTTCTCGGGCCATGAGGATGGCGCCTATGAACCATAATGCCTTTGAATAATTATGTGCAAGTATTGAGGGATCCTTGGGACATGACATGTTGTCTTCCAGCTATGAGGATGATGCCTTTAGACAATGACGCCTTTGGACAAGTTGGCGATATTTCAGCCCATAAGATGCAATAATATGATGCTAAAATCAACAAGACAAGACTTAGTCTTATGAGGTTAAGGACAGAGCTTAGCCCAAAAGAGGAGCAAATAGATGGTGCCAGAGAGACTGTGCTTAGTCTCAGCAAATAAAGGCGATGATTGGCCTTATGCAAATAGGAGGCAGAGCTTAACCCCAGGCAAGATTCGGGACAGGGCTTAGTCCCATACAAATGGAAGGCAGAGCATAGCCTTATGCAGATATGGAGGCAGGGCTTAGCCTCATGTAGATAGAGGTATGGCTTAGCCTCATTGTTACGCCCCGCAATATTACGTCAATATAACATCCCGCAGTAATATGTTACGATGATGTTACCCTTTGCAGTAATATATTACGATGGTGTTATGTCCTGCAGTAAAATATTACGAAAGTGTTATACCCAGCAGTAACACATTACAGTGATGTTAAGCTTCGCAGTAATAAGTTACGACGATGTTGCACCCTGCAGTATTTTACGTTGAGTTTGTCGTAAGGTAATTGACATCAGTCTAAAGAAAAGATTATTTGGAGATTATAAGGATTGTAAGTGATGAATAAATTCATGAAGGTGAGAGGGGAAGCAAGTCGAAAAAAATTGAATTTCGTTGAAATTTGGTATTTTGGGATAAAATACGGCTCAAGCTAAAATACTCGGTATTTATGGACTAGTACCATACAAGGTACCATATGACCATAATAGTAAGGCATATAAGGTATGTGAAAAGTGAGTAATATTTTAAGTAATTAGTGATAATTTTTAAATTATGCAGGTAATAGATTAATTACCGGATAACGAAATATTACCCGGTTAACTAATAAGTAGATAA